CAAATTGCATATATTGTATGTTAAATTCTGTAGTTCCAATAGTTTACAGCAGAAAGGCAGCTGTAGTACTCAGATATCTGACCTGTTTGCCTGGTAAGTTGAAAGTGCCATGTAACTCCAAGCAAAGGAAAAAAAGTGGTTCCTAGAACACCTGGCTGAGTTTATACTGCCTGCCAGGAGCTGCCCTGTGGTTCTTGTGGTAGATATAGTCATGAAGACTCAGGTGGGAAAAACCACACAATATGGGTGCCACTTTCCTAGTTCTCCTCCTGCTCTTGGCTCATGAGGGGCCTTATTTGTAGTGTCTCAAATTGTGACAGGGATACATTTTCCATCGAATCAGCATAGGTTTTTTGTTTGTTTTTTTAAACAAAGTCTACAGTTAATATATTTTCTTCCAAATTAGGTTCTCTTAATTACACAAAAAGTGATATATCAGTTTTTTTTCTTTTCTTTCTTTTTCTTTTTTTTTTTTTTTGAGACAGAGTCTTGCTCTATCGCCAAGGCTGGAGTGGAGTGGCATGATCTTGGCTCACAGCAACCTCCCTTGCCTGGGTTAAAGCGATTCCCCTACCTCATCCTCCCAAGTAGCTGGGACTACAGGCGCACGCTACCTCATTGGGCTAATTTTTTGTATTTTTAGTAGAGATGGGGTTTCACCATGTTGGGTAGGCTGGTCTCAAACTCCTGACTCCAGGTAATCTGCCTGCCTTGGCCTCCCAAAGTGCTGGGATTACAGGTGCCATTGCAACTGGCCTGATTTATCAGTTTTCACATAGAACTGCAGATAAAGCTGTAAAACAAGGTCTGTTTTTCAAAATTCAGCAAAGCAAAGGCCTTGTATCTATTGTCTACTTATCTAGGACTTTATATTTCTTTCCATATAAAAATGCCAACTCTGGATTTCAGCTTTTGAATGGAAGTGAGTTGGTTTCTATTCATTGTATTTGAGGATCCTATACATTTTTTTTTCTCTAAAACATTCTAAAAGGACTTAATCTGTGGTTATACTTGGGTTATAATTAATTTATCAAATATGCTATTCTTTTGTCATGACTATATTTAAAAGTTACTGCTTAATTTATTTTTAATGGCTCTTCCTTAAAATGTCTTAATTGTATTACCTAAGGGGAAATTATACATAATTAAATAAAAAGCATTTTGTCATCTATGAGAAATTGTTTGCCTTTACATTGCCGCCAAGCAGAGAGAAACCATTTCATTAAGGCGACTCAATTTTTTTTTTTTTTTTCGAGATGGAGTTTTGCTCTTGTTGCCCAGCCTGGAGTACAGTGGCGTGATCTCAGCTCACTGTGACCTTCTGGGTTCAAGCGATTCTCCTGCCTCAGCCTCCCAAGTAGCTGGGATTACAGGCACCCACCACCTTGCCCAGCTAATTTTTGCATTTTTAGTAGAGATGGGGTTTCACCATGTTGGCCAGGCTGGTCTTGAACTGCTGATCTCAGGTGATCCACCCAACTTGGCGTCCCAAAGTGCTGGGATTACAGGTGTGAGCCACCGCGCCCAGCCAGGCAACTCAGTTTCTAATCAGCTATGAGAAATTCCATTTATATAGGACTCTCTTCAGTTTGATTTGTTGGTAAGTATATTGACCTGTGAAATGGAAATTTGCTTACTAGGAAAACCGTCTTCAGATACAGCCCCTAAGCCCAAGAGAGCCCCCAAACAGAAGAAAGTAGTAGAGGCTGTAAACTCTGACTCAGATTCAGAATTTGGCATTCCAAAGAAGACTACAACACCAAAAGGTGAGGATTATCTTCTTATAACCCTTTAAACATATACTGTATGGAAAAGATGGAATTTTTTCTACCTCATTGAATTTAGAGAGGCTAGGTATCTATTTTGTTTTAAATTGCTTTACTCCTCAGTAAGCGGTGTATCTAGGAATCAGTGCTGAATATAGTCCAAAGGAGGTATAGCAATTTAGTTCAGTCACTTTGTTTTACAAATTAAAAAAACTGAGGCTCAAAGAGGTTAAATAAGAATCCCTAAGAATGGTCCAAATTCTCCCCTGCAGCCAACTCACTGAAAGTTGTTATTAAAAAGTCAGATTAGCACTCCACACTAACTAAATTGTGACACTTATTGTAATGGGCTAGATCCAGGACTCTTAGGCTAGAACTTTTTTTCTCACCTAAGAAATAACTGTACTCAGGACCACACAAGGAACCAGCTCCAGTTCTCCGTGGCATCCCTTCTTCGTCTCCAGAATCTGGAAAGCCCTTAAAGATGCTTTATAAAATATGTTTGTAAGACATGATATGCTCTGAGGGTAGCTGCTCCATCTTTTATTCAACTGAAGGATATCTTCCTCAGTGTGTCTCTTCTATTTCTTAAAGGAGTGGTTGGGATAAGGAGCTGTGGACCAAAGGGAAATGGGGATAATAGGGTGGAAAAGAATCATAGGGACTGGGAAGGTAGTACTCATGATATGCAGGATTGAAAGCCTTTATCAATTCAAAAATGCTATTTCCCTGATTAATTTGATCAAATATGACATCCCAAGATTATGTAAGGCTATCTTTGTACTTGTCCAATCTAGCTGTCAAGGAATTTTTAAAGATTTAAAATTAATTGCTATTTAGTTGTATTTTATTTCATTGGCATCATTGTGGGAGGGAGAACATCTGGCCCCTACTTAAATATTACCTTTTCTCCTTTCACCTCCAGTGATGAGAATAAGAGGTTAGGTAGATGAAAAAAATGCTGTATGTGCCAAGTCTAGGTCTGAGAAGGGATATGTATTTGACATTTTATAGTCAGTACTGCTGGTTCTCAGATGGTGCCACTCAACGTGGGATATGCAATTGGTTGTTACTAGTCTTTGATAAGTAAAACTGAGTAAACATTTAGACCTTTATGATAATTTTGTGTTAATAAAACAGCATGTGATTACATTTTTTAGTAATTTGTGTTCTATTATATTTTTAAAAGTATTGGCCCATGACAAATTAGAAATTTAAAAAAAAAATTTAAATCACATGTAATTTAAAAAATACTTTTCCAAGGTATTTCCTTTTCAGGCTCAAGGACCACATAGCAAATACAGATGTTTTATGTATGAAGGGATTCATCATTAAAATTTGTCTTTGGGACTTTCCCATTAATTTAAATATATTTGTGAAAAAGTCTTTGGTCATGTCAATCCCAGAATTGAAATGCTACTGCCAAGTTGTTTATAATCACTCATAGTAAGAGATCAGGACTGCAGTATTCCACTGATTGGGTATGCCAAAGAAATAAACTACAATGTTGTGGCATTTATCTTTTTATATTGCACTTACCCATGGAAGAAAAAACCTTTTGTATCATTTTAAGGTAAAGGCCGAGGGGCAAAGAAAAGGAAAGCATCTGGCTCTGAAAATGAAGGCGACTATAACCCTGGCAGGAAAACATCCAAAACAGCAAGCAAGGTAACTGGGAACATCATTGCACATTAGTGCATGGCTTTTTAAAAAAAGATCTGTAACTGACTTAGTTTGCTTATTACTACAGTCCTGGAACAGCTTTCCACCTAGCATCTCATATCAATATGGGGCTTGTATATGGTTAAGGAATTATTCAAGTATAAATGTATATAATCAGGACTAGTTTCTAAATAACAGTGTGCTATAAATTAACCTACTTAGAATCTTCAGTTTCATCCATTGAGCTATAGTACTGTTGTGTTACCTAAATATTAGACTCTTTCAGACTAAAATATTATTTTTCAGACTAAAGACTGTTTCCTTTTAACTTGGATTTATTTGACCAGGGCTAATTTGATTTTTTTTTAATTGAATTCATTTGACTGTGGCTAATTTTCCCAATTAGTCTGACCCTTTTCCAGAAGTACACTATTTTTTTTTAGGTAAATGAATGACATCAGCTACCTCCATCCCTTTTTTTCTCTTCCTAGTAAAACTTAAAAATACCAATGTAGATGATCATAGCTTTATGTTGATTTCCGCACTGACCTTTTCCATCCAGTCATCTTCTGTGTCTCAGGTCCACCTCGGTGATGTTTTGCATGTTTTAAAACACTTAACAGTGCATACTCCACGTGGTGCGGGAGTCTTGTTTCCTCCCATGAATTCTTGATACATACTTAGCAATAGGACAGCTTGAATTTTTACTAATCTGGGCATTGTGCATACTTTTTGGGTAAAATATAATTTTAGAAATAAAAGTGTTACATTTTTCAGGCTAGAACTTGGTAAATATGAAACCAAGGTAGCGAATTACTGTATGTAATCTTTTTCCTCCAAAAAATAAGGTAACTGGTCTTAAACTTAGGTTAGCATTACAACTCTAATTTTAAAAGTTCCATTATTGGTAATACTGCCTAAACATAAGTGAAGTTGAAGGAGTGATAGTTCTTCATACTAGTCTTTATTTCTTTTAATAACTTTTAAATCTAATCTATTGAAAAAAAAATATCTAGAAACCGAAGAAAACATCCTTTGATCAGGATTCAGATGTGGACATCTTCCCCTCAGACTTCCCTTCTGAGCCACCTTCTCTGCCACGAACCGGTCGGGCTAGGAAAGAAGTAAAATATTTTGCAGAGTCTGATGAAGAAGAAGAAGATGTTGATTTTGCAATGTTTAATTAAGTGCCCAAAGAGCACAAACAAACATTTTTCAACAAATACCTTGTGTTGTCCTTTTGTCTTTTCTGTCTCAGACTTTTGTACATCTGGCTTATTTTAATGTGATGATGTAATTGATGATGGATTTTTATTATTGTGGTAGGCCTTTTAACATTTTGTTCTTACACATACAGTTTTATGCTCTTTTTTACTCATTGAAATGTCACGTACTGTCTGTCTGATTGGCTTGTAGAATTGTTATAGACTGCCGTGCATTAGCACAGATTTTAACTGTCATGGTTACAAACTACAGACCTGCTTTTTGAAATGAAATTTAAACATTAAAAATGGAACTGTGTTCTCTGTCTCTTTACTGAAGATAAAAGTGTAGTAAAGGCTCCCACACACCTTTAAAATAAATATATTTTATTCTTTGCCAGGAGACTCCATGGAAAAAGGTAAACAGTATATGAACATAGAAAGCATTGTTAAACAAACAATCTCAATGTACAAACAGAGCCAGTGAAAGTACATCACAGACTTGCTAGTATATCAAAAAAAAAAATTCCACTAGTGCTTAAATGAGAACTAAGAAACTGACACTTGTATCTGGTAACCACTCTACCACAGCTTTCACTCTGCTTCATAGTGATTGATTGAACAAGGTCAAAGGAGTCCGATTCTATGCCTGTGTCTTTGGGAGTTAATATTAGCCCCTTGGCATCAAGAAGGCTGGAAAAAAAAATCCCAATATCAGGCATGAATCAGGAAGGACACTAGAGTTACATGGTCCAGGTGGTAGACCAGCCTGCTAATTATCCCATGAAATTTCCCTAATGGCTTGTGAACAGGTAAACAAAAACTTAACACTGAAAAGTGTTTCTGCCTTGGAGGCTATCATTACTGTAAAAATTTTTTTTTTTTAAACTGTGTAGTTATGTCATTAAACAAGTAATAAACCACTTTTAATTTAAAGTGACATTAACAATTGAACAAATGACATTTGATTAACTGAACTGGCAGTTACAATGATACAGAATTCTCTTCTGCTAGTGCAGGGAATTTGTATACTTTTACTGGGCAACATGAAATAAAAGATGCAGTTTGAGAGCATCAGAAAGAGCAAAGACAAGCTTCCATACTAACTAAATTAGAATATCTTCAGTCTTATCTTGTCATACTGTACAATAGTCCTGTTTCCTTACCTTGATGTCTTGACTATTCCATGAAAGCAAGACAGTTATCTTTTTGAACGTAGGTGGACATGTACAGTAGTCTGTTTCATAACCTTGGTGTCATGGTTATTTTGAGTATGCAAGACAAAAGGAAAGCACCAAACATACAGTATAGAAAGAACAGAGCCATACTTCTGTATGTACAAAGTCTTCAGAAACTTAACCAGGGGTAAATCATTTTGACTGGGTCTTTGCCATGCAATCTTGAGTGTTCAAAGAGGAAAATAGAAGCTTTTAACTAGTTTCTGGTTGCATGAAATGGCTGATTTTTTTAGAATTTGAAAAGTTTGTATTTCTAGGTAAGTTACACAGTGAGGAGTATATATATTGATACATACGAAAACTTCTTGGTCCTTCTTGAGTTTTAATATATTTTCAGTCCAAAAACTAAGCAGCAGTAAAAATGTTTTTTCTTGCATTTTAAATCCTGGAACTGAAGGTACTGGGGAATGTTTGAAGTAGCTAGAAAATGTCTTATTGCACAAGTGGTGACTGACTGACCCCACTGTTTTCCACTGAGCTGGGTGAGATGCTAGGACTGTGCTCTGCTGTGTTCCCACTTGAACTTGGGGTCAAGGGTTCATGTCCTTCAGAATTCTCCAGCATTTCTTGAATGAGAGGTGGCATTGATCCAGGAATTTCCATTTTCAAGGTAATTACACGTTCTGCACCTTTTCAAAAGAGATAATGGAAATCTGGTTAAGATAAGGAGTTAAGCTATGACAGATAACCAGGGACCAATTTTCATATATTTTAACAGAGGTGTTTCCTAAGACTGTCACTTAGGAATTATGAAATGTTGCTATCAGGTGGCTTTTTGTTGAAAAGGATCCATCGATTACTATCACACTCATAAATACAAAGATGTATTTGGAATGGGAATTGCATCCACCAAAAATCATGTTCGTTTGTTCTGAAGTTAGAATCAGATTGGGTTCTCAGCCAGCTCAGACTCACAGTATGTTGATAAGAGAGGGTCTTCTTATGATCTGCTAGAACTTTATTCGTCTTTTATGCAAGCAGTAACTGATACAATTGCTCCTTTTGATAACAGAAAATTATGCAAACAATGCCTCCCAGAGACCATCCGTATTTTACACCATTAAAACATTTTTTACTTTATGGAAAAGCAGCAGAGATATGGTGACATTTAAACTTGATGTCTTCGTTTCAGGAAATAACAATTTACAAAGAGAAGTTCCTGATGAAAGAAGTGTATCTTGAAAAAGACAGGTTGATGCCAGTTACCCGCAAACAGAGGAACTGACAATGTGCGGTTATTATTAACACCTTGATTTAGCAGCACTCTGTCCAGTACAGTACCCACTAGGTAGCTAAATTTGTTAAATAAAATTAGAAAAACAGTGCCTCAGTTGCATAAGCCACACTTCAAGTGCTCGAGAACCTCTTGTGTCTAGTGGCTACTGAAATGAACAGTACAGATGATTTCTGTAATTGCAGTAAATTCTATTAGATATCACTAGTCATCTGTACAGAATGACAGTATTAAGTTAAACAGCCTCGTTTTTAAAAATCGAAGATACCATATTCAGAACCACACTGGTATCTGCTGTTTACTTCTCTTAATCCCATGCAAGGATGAATTCAGAATGCTCATCGAGGAGACCTCTTAGAAGGAGCTCAGGAGTTAAGACTGCTTATCAAACAAGTTCCCTGTGCTTTTAAGCGCTTTCTGAAATACAGAGTTTATTCCTTGGCTAGCAAACATCTTCAGAGACAGAGTAAGTAGTCTGATGGGGAAAGGAGAATGACAATAACCCATTTGGTACCAGGGATAGCTGCTGAGTTGTGTCTCTACATAGAAAAACCTTACTGTTAACATTCAACTGTGATATAGCTCTAGGCACCTCTCTAATTGCTTGAGTTGCTACATAAACAGAAAATCACTAGGCAAAGAATATTTATACCTCTTAGGAAGGCAAGAATTCCTTTGCTTAGAAGTGTGCAGAAGGAAATCTGCTTATATACAAAAGAGCAATGGCTAAAGTGATTGAGAGAAACTTAACAAAGGTTTAGATATTCAGGAAAAACTGGAGTCAAGGTTACATAAACCAGAGGTGTGTAGAAAGCTGGAATTAAATGTATGAACCTAGACAATTAGCCTGTTATAGTACATTCTCTTGAAAACAATGTTTTTCTTATCAGTCAAATTTTGAAGCTCTTAATCATTAAGATAGTTGAATAGGGTAAGATTTGAGGGGTTTTTTGGGGGATGGGGTGGGGGGGATACTATTTCTTTTGATTTCAATGAGAAATGAGTTCCAAAACTTAAAAAGCAGCCATTAAACATCCTGAATTGAATAAAGCGACACAACCTGGTAAGGCCCTCAAGTCCACTGTGTGACTACAGTACTGAGAACACAAAGACATACCTTTAGCACTGATGCTACGGAGATCTGTGATTTTCATTAAGATCTTTGGAAACATGTGAGGCTTGCTGGGTCGTCTTTTTCTGATATAAATTTTTAGTGCTTCCAGCAATGGTTCTTGTAGTTTATCTACTTTTGTCGGTTCCTCAAGGTCCTGGCGGTCTACATACCAGGAATAAAGTATTAAATAAAATCAGGATTTATGCCCTTTTCCCCTTTTCCTTGTTTCCTTATTCCTACTGAGTTCATTAATTTGGTAATTCAGTTACATACACAAATTTGCAGACTTACGCAATTGCTTTAAGCAGTGATACTTGAAAGAAAAAAAACCCGCCCCCCTTGGTAGTATAAACATTTTGATGGCTGGTTGCTTTTGTCCCAGGGAAAGAATTACCTCCTGTGACCAGAAGGTGTCACTACCGAACTGAATTAAAACCTTGAGCAGGATGGTTATTTTAGCACAAAGTAAATCGGCTCCTTAATTAAAGCCATTACTTGTTAACCACTTACGAGTCAGCCTCCTGTAGGCCAGTAGGGGTCACTACAGAGAAGAAAGCTAAATTTTATCCCAGTCCTCCAAGGGTTGGTGGGAGGGCCCAGCCAAATACTTGTATACCTACCCACTAAATAACAAACAGCACATACAAGTCCCTGGTCATCATTCAAATGTCCCCAGGCAATTCATTTTACAATAGTCTGATCCTACATTTAAGGAAAAAACAAAACAAAACAAAACAAAACCCTGTGGCAATTGGAGTAATAGCTTTTTGGGATTTCTTTCTGAGCTGAAGGATCCCAAATACCATTAGTTAATTTGTAAGAACATGAAAAAATACAATGAACCCAGGCATGTGTGCCTGGCTTTATTCACATCTTTTCCCATGTAAACAACTCCAAAAGGGAAATGAGGAATTTTTTCACGAATGGCAAGTATCAACTGTTCTTCATGGAATTTCATGAGGCTTTTCTACATAGTTGGTACCTCCACAGATTAAGCAGATGGCACTGAGAAGGCCTGTTTCTGTGTCATCCATTTCCAAAGGCAGGAGCTGGTTGGCAAAGGTGAACACAAGGTCAGTCAGAGGACCAAATCCAGCATTGTGCATCTGAGTTCGATTTAGGGTAAGGCCGTCTGAAAAAGTCATGGTGTCTTGTTCTGGGGTATACCTGGTGCAAATTCTAAGAATCTGGAAGGGGAAAAAAAAAATTGATGGATGTTCTAAGCCAGCCTGTCCTGAAATCATCAATCAGATTTAAGCAGGAAATAACATGAAGATTTCCAAGAAGCTCTTACATCACATGGGGCAGTCTGTCCCCCTTTCACATGCTGAATGTCTTCTTTAGCTCTTTCATTAAGAGACTACAGAAGTCAAAACCTAGGGGCTGAAGTGTTTTAGGAAATACTAAACAGGACCCAAGAAATTCTGAGAAATATCTTTTTAAAAGTAATTCATTATTTGATTCAAATAAACATTTACTGAGTACCTAAGTATGTCCCAGGCACTGTGCCAGGTGCTGGAGGTTTAAAAAAAAAAAAAGATAAGATTCTATTTTTTAAGAGCTTATGGTGTACAATAAATGACAATATCATTTATTAAATGCATAGTATATATCAAGTTTTGTACATACCCTATATTCAATCTTTCAAACAGCTTGGTAAAATGAATATTATTCTTATTTTACAAATGAAGGACTTAAGATGTGCCCAATGTCACATAGTTAACATGTAACTGAATCTGACTCAAACCCAAGTTAGGCTGACTCTCCCATGATGCCTCTGATCGCATAGTTACACAGACAGCTACAATACAAGGCACGTGAGTGAAACCAGCAAGGTATTAGGGAGTTCAGAAGAAGGAAAGCTCAGAAATAGGCAAGAGGAAATCAAGGGCAGATCCATAAAGAGGTGGCATTTCAACCAAACCCTAAAGTGTTGACAGGATTTCTACAGGCAAAAAGCCTGAGTCACTCCGCCAGAGTCTCCCAGTCCCACCCAGTGTATGCTTGACACATAACCCTGTGGCCCCCTGCGGCGCCAGCTACTAAGGAGACTCCTGCTCACTGCCCTGTGCCTCTAAGCCTCACTCAGAGCAAAACATACTGAAAATGCCTTGCTTCTGTCGATACTCAATCCGGGCTCAGGTTTCCACTGCCCTATGAAGCCCAAACGCTGGTGAGGAGCTCTGTGCATTCCAGAGCACTTCCCCACCCAGAACCACATTTCTGCACCCGCAGTAAAAGGTGTCTGCTGACCAGGTTGCCATGCTTGACTTTTCCCTCTGAAAAAGTTTCAGAGCTGCTTGAAGCACAGAGAGAAGTAAATCGAAAGTGAACAACTCAGTAGGCTGAAGAAGTTGAGAGTTTTTCCCAGATACTGGCACTTAATTTGACTGGGTATAGCCCTGTGAATGTCCACCTCAGTATCAACCTACAGGAGGACAGATGCGATCGGAAAGGCCTGCTTTATTCCTGTTACATGGCCATGTGCAGAGACGAGCGGCCTCTGAGGAAGACACAGGACCCCCTACCTGGGAGGGAACTCCTTGTAGTAAAGCCTCTGCATCCTGCCCCTATTCCCATCAGGTCTCCTAAAACAAAACCTTCTGTCAAATCTCTCCTCTTGTCGGGGAAACACTGGGGGTTTGGGACCAGGACACTGCCCATGGGGAAGTCAGTCCTATCTGACTGGTGGTGGATCCACAGGAGCCTCACACCCAGTGGACCACATGAACCACGATGGGACAGTTGCACTGCGATGGTCACGTGCTTTTGGGTTCTCTATATCTCCAAGAAGGCAGTGACCTAGGAGCCAGCCTTCTTCCTACACAGAGGACTCCAGCGTGTATACGGAAGAAGGCACCAAGACATCCTATAGAGTGAGGGTGCAGCGCCTCTGTTGGTATATTTTTTTAAAAGTCTGACTTCAGTGTATTATTGGTTAAAACTCCAAGAGGAAAACTGTGAATGAGTAGCACTCTTCATCCCTAACATACAGTAAGAGCTAATGTTTAACCGATCACCTAACCAGGTACCGTAACGAAACACTAGTGTATTATTTCTCCTATCAACCCATGAGTTGTTACTATTAGCTGGGGAAACACATCTGAATAGCTTATGCTAGGTCACGTAAGCTAGTAGAATGATTGGATTTAGGCTATCTTTTTCTAGAACCTGTGCTTTTAACCACTGCTCCATAGCTGCCTCATTTTCTCTTCATGCCAATACTCAAACCTAGACACCTCTCTAAGGTTAGATCACCTTTAGCCCAGTATTGACTTTGATATCAGCCTTACTGGGCACTTCTGTGCAGCCCATAACTGCATAACTATTCACGGTGGCCTACCTGGTATAGAGGGGTGCAGAGCTTGTGGCCTGGAAACAGAAACCTCATTTTATATGGGGAGGGGTGGTAGAGATATCTAAATCAGGACATGTCATCAAACTTCTTAACGCTCCTACTATATAATCAAGTGGCATAGTGAATTAGCAATTGACCGTTAATGTGAGTGGTTATCCAAACACTACCATGATCTCTCTTCATTGGATGGGTGGTTATTTTCACCTCCCAGATACTTGCCCAGAGGCCCTTCTGAGCTAGCCCAGCCATTTCCTCTGGGTTCCCAACTGGTTGACTTGTTTCACTTCACCTTGGTAATTGATGGGGTATGAAGCCATTCCCAATGTCAGAGCAGTAAGAAAACTCAGAAGTCATTGGGCATAAAGCCTCACATTTCCCCTGAAAGCCCTGGGAGATCAAGTGTGCCCAAGATCACACAAGCAACAGTGCTAGAGCCTAGAATACAGGTCTTCCAATCCCCAGCCTGATGTTCCTTCAACTACCTGGAGAAACATGAGGAAATACTGCCTCTGCAGGGAGTTATCAAGTGACAGTCAAAGTTAGCACTTTGGGAGGCCAAGGCGGATGGATCATCTGCAGTCAGGAGCTCGAGACCAGCCTGACCCACATGGTGAAACCTGTCTCTACCAAAAAGCACAAAAATTAGCCAGGCCTGGCGAAGCACACCGGTAGCTCCAGCTACTGGGGCGGCTGAGGTTGGAGAATCGCTTGCACTGGGAGGGGGAGGTTGCAGTGAGCTGGGATCATGCCATTGCGCTTCAGCCTTGGCGACAGAGTAAGACCCTGTCTCAACAACAACAATAACAACAACAACAACAACAACAAAGGTAGTATGCTCAATATTTATGGGCCCCAAATCCCCGGATACGTTTCTAGTCTGGAATCAAATGGGTACTAAATAAGGCTTTGCAGCTGTAACGTGCTGCCAAGAAATGAATGCATGAGATCTGTCCCCTGCAAAAATGAAAGAACCCAGAGATTTGTCGGAAAGGAACAGAAGACCAGGATTTAGGACTTCGCAAATTGCCAATAACTCACTTAGAAATCCACGTCCAAACTGCAGCCCTCAAATGTTTCTAACTATTCTATTCGAAAAGGTTTTCCTCCTCAAAAGTTAGAATGTATTTGGATTCTGATGAGGCATTTAAACCATGTTCTGTTGCCTCTCTTCCTAGAAAGTTCAAAGCCGAAACCAAGTACAATCGGTACCTCCAGAGAGGAACGCACGTGGCCTGAGGAGGAAGACTGCTCAATGTCTCCTTTTATCCCAGGAGCCTCCATTCCCTGCCCCGGCCCCAGCCTGAAACAGGATGGCCCCAGGTGAAACGGGCATCCTCCTCACTGCTTCCGGCTGCTTCTGTCTCTGGAGAGAACCCAAGTCGTTTCATTTTGTCACACTAAAATCAAATGCCAGTGGCAACCACCAAGTACTTCTCCAGGATTAAAACACTCTTTGTTTGAAAGGAAGGCATCTTCTCTGGAAAGACCAGCATCCAGGCCCCACGAGACGGGTAAAAATAGCCTAGGCCAGGCTGTCTCACCAAAGCAGGGCCCTGTTGGACAACACAAAGCTCCAGTTGATGGTCAAACTTGATCCTCCTCAGGGCAAAAGAACCTTCTTTTCTTGCCATCAGCAAAGACAACTGTGCATGTCTCTACTGCTTCTGATGGGAGTGTGAGTTCTGTGTGTGTCTTGGGGTAGGCCTGCTTGATAATGGAACCCTGGAAGAATCTGATGATGCGGGACCCCAGAGGCAGAACCAGGGACATGTCCACCAAGCTGCCATTACCTCTCTTATGGTGGGGGCCTCTGAAGGGATCCCTTATTTCCATTCCTGCTTGAGTACTACGTGGTCAATCCACAGCAGCCAGAGCATGTTGTCCAAAATGTTCATCAGAGGAGAAAACTCCTCACATGACTTCTAGTCCCCTTCAGAATAGAATCCAGACTTCCTCCTGTGGCCTCAGTGGCCTCTCCCTACCTTGCCAACTTCAACTACTTCTCCTTTCCTTTGCTTATGAACTTCTGGCCATCTTGGTCTGCTTTGTGAAGCTTCAATGACGCACTGCTGAGGCAGTGTTTGCACTTGCTTTTCCCTCTGGCTTCAGTGCTTTTCCCTGATCTTCACATGGCTCACTTCTCAGAGTTCAGCTTGAATGTCACCTCCTCTAAAGCCTCAGTGAAAATGCTTTCTAAAATCCATTATTTTCTATCCCATCATGCTTTTGGTTTTTGGAATAAGAAATAACATTGTTTTAAAATTGAGGTATAACATGTGGTGGTTTAAAAATATGTGTGCAAATTCTTTGATCCTACTCCATTTAAGGGGTGGAGCTTAATCCCCTCCCCTTGGGTGTGGCCTGGACTTAGCGATTTGCTTCTAACAAATAGAATATGGCGAAAGTGATGGTGTGTGACTTGTGAAACTAGGTCACAAAAAGCATTGTCACTTCCTTCTTGCTTGCTCTTTCTTGAATCTCTTGCTCTGGGGGAAGCTAGCTGACATTTCAAGAGGACAGTTATCCAGCCCCATGGACAGGTCCACAGAGGAAGAAACTGAGTCCTCCCATCAATGACCAGCACTAAATTGTTCGATAAATGTGATGAGTGATTGTGGAGGCAGAGAGCTTCCAGCCTCTGGAATTCTTTAGATGACTGCAGCTCTGACTGGTGTCTTGATTGCTATTTCATGACAGATACTGAGCCAGAACCACTCAATGAAGTCAGTACCAGATTCCTGAACCACTGTGACTATGGGAGATAATAATGCTTATGTTTTAAGCTGCTAGGTTTTGTGGTATTTTGTTACACTGCAATAGATGATGAAT